AATCAGGTATTGATGAGAGAGCTGATAATACCAGGTGTAAAATCTAACAGCTTAATAATTTGAGTAAAGTGAATTGAATGTAATATTACGCTTTACACTTGAGATTGCGAAAAACTGCTCTAGATTTTGAATGAGCATTAAAGAGTTATTTCAGATGTTAAAAATTATTATGGAAGTTCACATAATTCGTCATACTTTGAAAGCCCTCTTTTATAAAATTATCAAATAATTATTTAAAGGAGTAAATGGAGTGGCTTCGAAGGATGGTTATTCGATTGCTTGAAAAATTTTTCGTTATTTACTTATGTTTTTATACATTTCAATTCACAACTTTTTTTGTTTTTCGATATCACTGACTTTTGGTGTCTTGTTTTCTGTGTTCAGAGCGGTGGCCATCTTTTGTTTATTAGATTTGGAAATTTACGCAAGACTGTTTTAGTGTCCTAAAAAGACGTTCATTTGAAACACTTATTCGTAATAGTTTTAAATAGAAATATTACATTATTGCAGAGATGTCCACAAAGAAAAAAACACCACGCAAAGGAAAGAAGGGAAAAGGAAAAGTTTTGGTACCAAAATGGAAATTGTTTCGAGCGAAGGAACCACTTCTCTCTGTATTCATGTGGGGAGTAAATCATTCGGTAAACAGTTTCTGTTTTATTAAGGATTTTGTGTCATTTTTGAAACTTTATGTTAACTTTCTTTGGATAATAACTCGCATGGATTGAAAGGGAAAAATGTTCAGTTTTCATAGCAGTTTGGAACTTCCCTAAGTCATATTGCTCTTCAGTTCTTACTCAAGAGTCATGAACCTCACGGTTTGCACATTGTGATTTGACCACAAATAATATGTTATGTGAAAAGCTGGTATACAAATTGGAACGGTTGGCATAACATCAGTGCTTCATAAAGTGCAAAAGATAATTAGCAAAGGTTTAAGATAATGTTTTATAGATCAGCGAATTATTGCATGTTCCACCTCCAGGATTACTGATGCCGGATGATTTTAAAGCTTCGATTAAAGTTAAAATCGACAATCATTTCTTCAACAAGTAAGTTCAGCTCGTAAATATTACAAACAAATTTTCTTCACTTTAAGTCTGGTTGACTTCAGTCATCTAGGTTGTCGACTTAGTTTTGTTTATACAGCTTTGTTTCCTCACTGGTACCGAACATTGCCTAATGTAGTCTCATGATTTTAAGAAAGCAAGCATCTCTATGTCTAAAGCAGGTTCACTAAACCCATAATTAATTAAGACTAATTGGAAGTAGAAATGTTAGTTGGAAATAGAAGTGTTTTTATATGCCGCGGCAAACACAAGCATCAAAATTTTAATCGTTTCAGAGATAACATGCCAAGCCATTTCAAAATCAAAGATTATTGTCCTAATGTGTTCCGAAATCTTCGAGACCATTTTGGTGTTGATCAGTACGAATATTTGGTATGTTTAATCATTCATCACTTAATTCTCTCATTATTTTTTGAGTGATGGAAGAGAAAAGTTTGAATAAAAATATTAAAATATTTTATTGTGAAATTCACCAATTTTTTAATCTTTACAGCGTTCGCTAACATATAGTGAACCAGAACCAGAACTAGATCAAGTGGACAAAAGTGGCTCACGTTTGTATGTTTCACATGATAAGAAATTTGTAATAAAATCGATGGATTCAGAAGCAGTTGCTGAATTGCATTCAGTTCTCAGATCTTATCATGAGGTACATCATGCTTTTTCAATGGAATTTGAACAGAGATATTCTAGTTGGTTGATTTCTTCTTTAAATGTTCAATTTGAATGGTTTCAATTCTTATAACTTATGAGTGTAATTAGTATTTTCCCCACAATACCTGTTACCTTTTTGTTATTTCAGTATGTAGTAGAAAAAAGTGGCAAAACATTACTTCCACAATTTCTGGGTCTATATCGTCTTACTGTTGATGGCAGTGAAACATATTTGATTGTGATGCGTAATATCCTTGGTCGAAAATATGCTGTCCATCGTAAATATGATTTGAAAGTATTTTTTAATATGTTTTTTTTCTAATCAATTTAAGGAATGATTGATTTAAATAAAAAATCAACGAATATAAGAAAATGATGAAAAAGCGTTTTATGTTGTTGATTAGATATGCATTTAATAATAGAGAAGTGACTGCTTGTAATATCCCTTACACTGTCGTTATATAACGTGTCGTTTATCCCTTACACTTGAAGCATATTCCGTTAGAAGAATATGGGTTCTGAAGTATGATTGAATTACTTTTAAAAAAATTATTAGGTCCATGAAACAAAGTAGGTTCGGATTTTTCAGTTGTTCACTAGGACAACATTTGTTGATTTTCATTGACTTTTAAAGCATCATTTTATTAAATTTTTTTGGAATTTTCATTGATTTTCCAAGTATTTTATTTTTGGGGAAATTTGGAATGTTGTCAAGTATTGTCGAGCATTCCACAATTTCCAATTAATCGAAGATATCCTTCTGCATGTTTGTCGACAATATCTTGAATTTGTTTCAAGAACTTTCCTAGTGACATTATTTGGGAGTGATCAATATGGTATTGGTAATATAAAGTTGTTTTTTAACATTTGTTAATTTTTTTCACTCTATCATCATTTATAGGGGTCAACTGTACAGCGGCAAGCAACTGATAAGGAGAAGACGAAAGAATTACCAACACTTAAAGTTAGTTAGCTCTCAGCTGAATTTCTTGAGAACCCATAACATACTCAAATGGATGTATATGTCTTTTTAATTAAGGATAATGATTTCTTGGAAGATAAGTACAAATTAATATTGCCAGCTGATGCGCGTGAGAAGTTGCTTTCAATGTTACGTGATGATGCCGAGTTTTTAGCAAGAATGCATCTGATGGATTATTCACTTCTTGTTGGTTTGTTCATTTCCAGTTTGAAATTTGAAGAAGAAATATGGATTTGAAAAATAGGGGATCATACCGTAATTTTTGTAGACAATTTATAGCTTGTATTTTCATTTTCTGTTTCAGGTATTCATGATATGGATAAGGGTGAACAAGACATAGCAGCCCAACAACTAGCTGAACCATCTGAGGGTGAAATTTCGGGTGATGAACTTGTCCCAACGCCGCCGGATTCACCGCTGCCATCAACAGGTGCATTTGCGCCAATCCCATCTGGTGGGCCAGATCTTGATGATGAATTTTATGCAATTCCAAGTAGTCCAGGTGGGTTTTACTGTACAGTTTTCGTTTTGAGACTTATATAGCGTCGGGTTTTTTTCTTTTTTCTCAAGTTTAGAAAAGAATACATGTGATATAAATGAACAAGGAAAAGGCATCTGATAGAGAAATTGGCAAACTGCTCGAAATTGGTAATATTTTAGTACAGCTTGTCGATTTTTAACTTTTAGGAGATTCTTACATACTTTGCTTTGCAAAAGATACATTTCCAGAGAGCGATAAGCGGTTAATATATTTTATTGGCCTTGTCGACATACTCACTTATTATGGAGTTAAAAAAAAGACTGCATCAGCTGCAAAAGCTGTCAAATATGGTTTGGATGCTGATAATATATCAACAGTGAAACCTGACCAGGTAGCAAATTTTACAGTTCTTTGGATATTATTTATGATTTTCTGGACTTTCCGAAAGAATTTATTTTAGCTGATTTGCTAAAAATGACTTTTTTAAAGTTAGTAATGTTTTCATGATTCTCTTCTCGACACCGCTTTTTTGCATAATTACGCACGTTTTGATTATGAGACGGTTTTGCTTTTATTTCCTTTGCCATTCTTAGAATACAATAGATGCTCGAAGTGTTTACTGTGAAACTGTGAGATTTACAATCATGCAGATTTCTAGTTTTTTTTTCATAAAATATACGAATAATATTGTTTTAGTCCCGAATTTTTTTGCAGTATGCGCGTCGATTGCTCGATTTTGTAAGCAATGCGGTCAATTATAATACGGAATCAGCAACAGTAACCCATTAACAGATATCAGTGCGGATGTTATTGATGAAGCAGTTTTACAATACGTCTTGTTCACCAGTTTTCTTTGCACATATTTAAAATTTTCAAAAAATAAAAGATTCTGTAGAGTGCTAAGATAATGTGAGATAATGTGTTGTTCTAAATCCGTTCATCGATTTCCTTTGATTAGTCAAAGATTTTAGAGAAGTTTTGGAGAAACTTTGAGTTTACAGTTGTTCGCAGAGATACAACTAACGTAGAAGACTATTCTAATTTATTCACTCCTGCTTATATTGTAATTTTATTTATATATTTTTTGATCTCTGACTATGTAATTTTGCTCTTATTTATTCCGCTCAATGACATCCCTTTTTTATGGCTCCGAGAGTTGTCTGACTTCTGTCGCGTTCGTTTTCAATAGAACTCCAGAAACTGATGCTTGTGTATACATACCCGTGACTCCAGTGCATTAGAAAGCAGTAGTTAGAAGAATAGAATAATAAAAGCAGTCATGTTTATGGTGCAAATTACAGTTTTTTTTAATACTTTATCTTTAGTCGATAAAAATTTGTTTTACTGCCATTGAGAAGCAGAAGGGATAACTTCCAACCATCAGAAGTGAAAAAAAAATCAATCTTTTGTATATCCGCATGTGTGCTGTAGAGCTCACGCATATTATATTTGAATTTTTTCGCATTATAAAAAGCTTTGATTTTCCGATATATTCAACCTGATCTTTTTTTCTTATAGTAATTATTTTTTATTTGATAATGTGATATATTTTGTACATATTTTGATTTTATTATATATTTGTATAAGTTTGCAGCTATCATTTTGCTTTCGTGTCATTTGATTTGGCGGGATCGTCTGTCTATTATAATTGTCTATTAATACTTCTATTTATACTGCTGACTTTCGATAAAGCAAATAGAAGTCTAAATAAAGAAAAAAGCGTTTTACACGCTGATAAATTTCTTAGTTATTTAGTTCAAGGTGTTTAAAATTTCCAACCTTTAAGTTCAACATAATTTATGAAATCATAAATTTAACATCTGTTGCGGGTACTTGTGAGCCCGAGTTATTCATTATTGTTTGTGTAATTCGATTTATATGGCACGAAATTTGGATAAACAAGGGGTACAGGGCCTCACATTCAAATTTCACAATTTTTCTGTTTGTTTAGTCTTGAAAAGTTGTGGTTTTCGATTGAACTTGCAACGGTTGTTGGAGATGTCAGAAATAGACAATGTTCGTGTGATGGTACGTTGCAGACCTCTGAACCACATGGAGTGTGAACAAGGCCATAAGAAAATCGTGTCTGTGGACAGCGTTAACAACTCTGTCATCGTCACCAATCCAAATAATGGCCAGGTACTATCAGGTCAAATCAAAGTGTAACGCTTGATGACAAGCTATTAAATTGGCTGCTCTGAAATAGTTTGAAAAGTAAAGAAGTAAGTAGCAGATTTGCTAGAACAGTAAATAGTAGGTTTATTGGAAATTCTCGCAACATAGTGGAGCGATGCGTAGAAGGGTGTCACAGCTTGCTTAGGAAATGTATTGCTGATGAAGATTGATCATCTCTTCGGGTTTTTGCTTGCTAATTCAAAAGGAGTAAAATATTTCTTAGGAGCCACCTCGCATTTTTACTTTCGATGCTGTATTTGGAGAAGACAGTGATCAATTTAGCGTTTACAACATCGCTGCGAGGCACATTGTTGATAACGTACTGAAAGGATATAACGGTTAGTGACATCTTGAATTTGGTCTCTAGAAACATCAGCTGACTGTAGTATGTTAAAGTAGATGATAAAGCTGATGAAAAGTCAATTCATCGAGAGACGTGGAATAAATTTGTTGGTTGATTGTGGCGATTATAAGCGGGAGTTGAATTATTATGTTATGGTCAAGGTGTTCTGCATGAAGTTATGAATAGTTATGGAAATCGAATGAACATTTTTTCCATATTCAAGAAACATTTGTAGTTTTTCTTATTACTGTTTGTTGCTCCATTTTGGTTTAATTTAGGTACTATTCTTGCATATGGACAGACCGGCACTGGAAAAACGTTTACAATGCTGGGAAATAATACTTGCCCTGGAATAATCCCGAATTCCTTTGCACATATTTTCGATCACATATCGAAATGTCAGCAAGATAAAACTTTCCTTGTCCGAGTTTCCTATTTGGAAATTTACAATGAAGAAATCCGAGATTTGCTGGCCAAAAATCCAGTGCACGGTCTTGAAATTAAGGTTAGGAATGATATGCTTTAAGTTATGGGCTGATACTGAAAATGATAAATTATAGCGATTCGTTCAACGCATCTTGTTTTAATCACTGATGGAGTTACAATCAAATTGTAATTTTTTTTTTCATTTTTGGTTTTTGACACTGAACAGAGAATAAATTAAAAAATATCTTTGCTTCTTTTTGGAATTCTTATATATCTTATTGCATGATCACATATCACAGTCAGACCAGTGACACTCTCTTGATCCTAATGATTAATATTATATCTCTTTTTATTTAGTTTCTTGTATAATTATAATCAAGATTTATAGTTTGAGTTTCGGTTCTATTAAGGAACGACCGGATATAGGTGTTTATGTGAAAGATCTATCAAGCGTCACTGTGTCCGGTGCAGATCATATGGAACGTATTATGAAGTTCGGGAACAATTACAGGTATATTGTTTTTTAAACAAATGAAAGTAATTTAGGGAACTTGGAACCATCTATTGTTTTATACGATAGGAATTGAGTAGGATTGGTGAGATTGATACAAATTCAAGGTATAAAATTACGTAGACTTAATTGATTAAGAACCATTTTTATTGGCTTTATACTCTTTATTACTATAGATCAACGGGTGCGACAAAGATGAATATAGATAGTTCACGTTCCCATGCGCTGTTCACAATAACGATTGAATGCAGTGAGAAGATTGGTGATCGCTGCCATATCACACAAGGAAAGCTACAGCTTGTTGATTTAGCCGTAGGTTTTTGTTCTTTGATATTATTTTATCATTCAGTGCAGTGCAGCGCATTTAATCATGTCAGCAAAGCAAAATTAATGATGTCATGCGTTCATTCTTCATAAAATATTTTTATAATTTCAACCCGATGTGGATTTTCATCAGAGATTCGTCAAATTAAGTTTGAATTTTAAATTACTTTGTTGAGTTTTTTTAACAACTTTCCAACTGATTAATTCCTACATCATGCTACAATCGCAACGTTTATAATTTAGGGTAGTGAGAGGCAGGCGAAGAGTGGTACCAGTGGAGATCGATTGAAAGAAGCAGCTCGTATTAATTTGTCCCTTTCTTCTCTCGGTAACGTCATCAGTGCTTTGGTTGATTTGAAAACGATTCACATTCCATATAGAAATTCAAAACTTACACGATTACTTCAGGATTCTTTAGGTGGTAATTCAAAAACTGTCATGGTAAGTAGTTGTTAGATATTTGACTTTCATGACATTTATAGGAGACATGCAATTCATCCCAAAAACATTTAAAATGTTCTACAGGTGCGTTTTGTAGAAAACTGGTTATCAATTCTTTAAAAGTAAAAAAGACCTAAAAGTTCAAGTCTTAAGTGAGGGACTTTTCAGTTCATGGAGTTCGAGTCCCAGACTTATTTTCTGGAATAGTCTGCAAAATTTCCATTGTATCTTTTCTCTCATTTCAGTTTGCAAATATTGGTCCTGCTTCCTATAATTACGATGAAACGGTTTCCACACTAAGATATGCAAATCGTGCCAAAAATATTCAAAATGTGGTTCGAATTAATGAGGATCCAAAAGATGCGCTATTGCGGAAATTCCAACTGGAAATTGAGCATCTTAAAAGGTTGCTCGAGAAAGGTTTGATAAAAAGGATATACTGATTTGCACATATTGCGGATATACTGAATTTGCTTTATTTTGTTTGCCTATTAACTTTACTAAATTAGTACATTGATTCTTCCAGAACTGAAAAATTCCATGATACTGGAATTTTGTTACTTTAATCATCGTATTTTTCGTTTCAAATTAATCACCTTATTTTTTCGTTTCAAAGCAAATAACTTGCAGAAGAGTCAAATGAAAGTGAAGAAGATGTAGGTGAATCGGATTGGCACAAAGGCCAGAAACAATCGCGAAATCGTTATAATGATCATATTGAAGAACTAAAAAAGACGATTGAAATTAAGAGGAATGAATTACAAAAAGAAAAAGGATTAGCTGATGAAGAACGGGAATTGTTGGCCGCAGAACTTCGTGCTAAAGAGGTATATTTATTTGTAATGTTCTTGGTTCGGTTATTCAGCTCAATATATCTGTAGATGGTGTTTCTTGCAACTTTCATGAAATTTCTTGATTCATCCGAACTATTATGATAGTACTCGCCAATACGTATCTGCACGCACATACAAAATACGCTTTTCAATCATATATCCCTTTCGGATGTCTTTAGATGTTTTGTATAGTAACTTAATTTAGGAAGAATTAGCTCAAGCGCATAAAGATCATGATTTATTGGTGAATAAGCTAAAGCAAATTGAGAAAAAACTTATCGTTGGTGGCGAAAATATGCTTGAAAAAGCTGAAAAACAAGCCCGATTGCTGGAACAAAGTAATGCTGAGTTAGAATGTGGACGTGTGAATGAAACTCAGCTTAAGCAGGCATTGGCGGAAAAGAATCAGGAGAGGTTCGATTTGTTAGAACAATTAACATAAAAGAATTGTTGAAATGCAGCAAAGAATTTCGAATTTCTTTTTTTTTTTTAAATTTCCTTGGGTGACTTGCACAGATTTCGAAAATTCTCCTTTTTCTCTCGGATTCTTAGAAATGATTTTCCTAGTCACAGAACATACATTACAGCATACTAATAAATAAATATCAGTCCTGTAAATTATATTTATAGGATTGATCTGGAAGAGAAATACAATACTCTAGCAGAAGAAGCGCACGGTAAAACAAAGAAGATAAAGAAGATTTGGAGTATATTGAATGCTGCAAAAAGTGAATTGGCTGACGTACAAATGGAACATCAGCGTGAGATGGAAGGTCTTTTGGATAGTGTTCGTCAACTTCGCAGCGAACTTCTCTTACAGTTGCTTATTATTGGTGAGCAGTTTATATATTGCTAATTCATATTGAATTAACCGGATTGATCAAGGTGACAAAAACAGCAATAAACAAAACAACGATTATTCCTGATATTTCGTTTCCATCTATCAGAGGAGAATTGTAATTGTTAAGTAATCAGATAAACAGTTACTCCAGTTAATGAGATCAGTGGAAACGATACACTATACTGCCTTTTATACTAGGAATATCAAGAATTACTTTGCGATAGCTCAGATACTATTAAAACCAACTGAGATAGGAATAATAATAATAATTTTCCAAGAGAGTGTTGCGTAGATAATTGTAGAATTATAAAGTAACTATAAATTCTTTTTTTTTCTTTTTAACTTATTGTGACTATTATTTTCGACCTAACAATACTCTTCTGCTTGTCCACTATGTTAGTGTTTTCCCTATTATAAAACTGAAGGCGTTGCTATGTAATGGTACCACTGTATCGAAGTATTTTATATATCTTCCTGTTTCTTTCCTCATTTTCTACGGTTGCAACAGTACTATCAATAATAAATTGTTGGATGAATTTAATTAATATTTTTCTTTAGAAAATTACGTGCCAATGGAATTCTTAGAACTTATAGAACGTTTTGTCCGATGGAATGAGGAAGTAGGTGATTGGCAGTTAAAATGCATTGCTTATACTGGAAATAACATGCGAGCATGTAACCTCCCACGACAACCGTTCTACAAGGTTTAAATTCAAAATTTTTCGTTCATATGACATTTAAACATTGGCAATCTAACTAGCAGGCAGATTAACGGCACAATTTGACTTTAACCATTCATTTTTGATGTTTCTCACGTACGGCAATATATGATATATCAGTAATGTACTGTTGTAGTTATATTCCATTCTCACTAATCTTAGTGATTAAAAAATCGTTTCGTCAAAAATGATTGAAAAGGAAACTTCGACATCTTCTTGAGCTAAACATTTTGGAGATGAACAAAATTGGAGACTAGTATTCAGAATTTTTGAATAAATTTTAATCTGTATTAAACAGGAGGCAGTCACATATATAATTATATAACTATAATTTAATGTTATAGCCGCCAAATTCTCAAATGTTGAATTTGTTCTTCTCATATCAAGATGAAATGGCGCATATATCTTCAAATGATATGTGCCCTTCAAAGCTACGTGTGAAATCCAGCAAACGGTTCGTTAATTTCTTCTCTACCATTTAATCTTTTTTACTTCTTACTCTCTGAGTATTTTATTTCAGCATTGCATATTGGAGCCATTAGAGCATTGCACATTAGAGATTTTTGAATATCACGCAAAAAGGATTTCATTTGCTAAAAAATTGTATGATATACATAGTGATTTACAGTGAAAGAGATGCGGCTCGTCTGAATGTGTTGCTGAATTGAAACAATGGTGATTCTCGAATGATCATGTTTCGAATTCTGGCTAATAATTAAAACTACGCGTGCTTGCTTTATGATTATATGAATGGTATTTGCTCTTGAGATAATGGATCAGCTAGTTTTATTTATGGAATTTTAAAGAATTCTGTTCTTTCCGAAGTATATTGGAAAAGTGAAGGATCAATACGAGTGAGTACATAATGACTTATGACAAATACAACTGAGTTTTTTTAAGTTAGAAGCTTGAAAAAATTTTGGAACTTCATTTCTAATTTATTTGGAAAGGAAGATGTAGATTTTAAGAAAGTGAAAATTTTCAGAAAGTGATTTTAAGAGATTATCAATTATCAAAAATATCATGAGAACTTCAATTGTATTTTAGCGAAAGCCGCGGGAAATTCCTTTACTATTTTGGAACTGTGTTGTTTCATTATTTTGTGCCATATGATAGTTTAATTATGCTTTAATGTATATAGTTTCAAATTAATATTAACTTCATTAATGTTCTTAGCATTTCGTTTCTAACCCAGTTGTTCGATTCATCTTTTCTGCTCTTTTAGAGCAGAACAGACGAATAGCCTCGAGCAACGGAGTCGAGTCTGTTTGAAAGCTTTTGTGTAGCGTTGTGAGTTTTTTTGTTTTCGAGAGTTTTAGTTTAGCAAATCGAATTATGGTGAAGGTTTTATTATTTGATAGAGAGGTTTATTCTTTTTGACATTGCAATCAAATATCAAAAATATCGTGAGTTGAGTTGGTCACTTAATTCTTCTTCAATGATTGATTCGGGAGGATAATGGGGACTACTTGTTGTAGTAGTTCAAAAGAGTGTAGATGATAAGACCGCTTCGTTTTAGAGGAATGTACTATATTACGCTCATTTCGAATTGAGCGTTGCTCGATCAGTACTGTTTATGGTAACTAGTCAATTATTCATCTTTTACATAAAACTGATAGGGAACAAAGAATTGGTTGAACATAAATAAAGCCAGTGATAAAAAAGGTTCATTTACAATAAATATTCTTTAGAATCATAAATGGAGATATTAACAAAGCATATACTATTATTTGACTGGGCATATTTCAGACAAAAGATTTCTCTGACATAGATCTCACTAATCCGATACTTTGATTACATAAATTTTTTATATTATAAACTTATTTCAGGTTGCCTTTAAGATACTAGAAACATAGTTTAAGATACTAGAAAGATACTAGAAATCTTAAAGTCAGTTATTTAAACTAGCTTAATATCTAAACATAACCCACGTAAACCACAAGTAAACACTACCAAAGGATATAAGTACTTCGAATCTTCTGATGTAAAGTTAGTCTTGTTTGACGGAATTGCCCTCGAAGGAGATTTATATTATCTATTAAAGTCCTTTCGGTGTCCAAAATATCATATATTATTTGACTTGACAATTGAATATAATTTCCTATAGAAGTTAGAATTTCCAATAATTGACTATGGAGTTTCCAAATAAGGCTTATGATACATGTTTTTATCATAATTCGTGATAAACCGTGACAGTTACAAAAGTTTGCAATTCAGATGCGAAACGAAAAAATAGATTGATAAGATCTAATCAAAGACTTGATGGGGTGGTAATGTTCTAGAATGTTCCATAAAGATGCAGTAAGCCTTACTGTATATGTAAATATATATCATTATTATTTTCTTCTTGCATAAATAAACACTTTTTTGAATAATGTATAGTTATATGCTTCAATGCTAAGTACGAAAAAAAAATAAAAGTGAAAAAGTGAAAGGCAGTAGAGAGAGAACTTTAATTGAAAGGCGAGAGGAATCTATTTGTTAGGCATTCCTGAACACTTATGGTTCCTATCCGAATTCCAGCGTGACCACCTAATGCTATATTCGTTATTCTTTTCAGGTGATAATTTCATTCAAATAAAAGTCAAATAAACAGCATTGAACGATGCAAGAAATTTGATAGCTCGTATATTCTAAAATATCGCTATGATAAACATTAACCATCCAAATTGCAATTTTAATTACAAAGTGTGTCATTCCACTTAATCCATTACGCTTCGAAATAAATAATTTTATTATTATTTTCTTTGATACTATAATTTAACTATTACTAATCAGCTAAATAGTAGAAATAATCTATTTATTGATCGGATGGAACGACATTTATCTGATTGAATAGCTTGCCTGGGTTAAACTGACTTGTGTTGTTTTTGTGGATATAGCGAAGTGATAAACTAACCTCGGAATTGTTCATTTGTTCATCACACTTCATCTTTGCATTTCGACTGCAAGACATCATCTTCAACACTGTCAGATTTTTTACTTCTTTTTCCTACTGCTTCAGCATTTGAACAGCTGTTCTGCTTGCATGAAAAAAAGTTGGTAAGGGTGGTTCAGAAGGTTTATCCACATTACCACATATTACAGTTTTCATTCTTTAATTACTTTCATCTTCGTATTGTTGTCGTTGTGTATGCGTCTTTTGCACTTATTTTGATTTCCTGCAAGAGTGACGAAGATATTCTGATGAATTTTTAAACTTCTTACTAGCTAGATCCAATTTTCTTTGAAGCAACTCTAATGGTACCTTTAATCCAGATTGCAGAAGTGAATAGTTGTGGAAATGCGCATTTTCGGGATTGTTCCTGAATTACGGAATTACCGACTCATGAAAATCGGTTTCTGGGGTCATCAACTGTACATTTCGCCATGCTGTACTGATCGCATCCAGATATGGTCCATACATTCGTTTATACCTAACTCTTGGTCAAAATTGTTCGATTTTCCGCTTATCCAGCTTTTCTATTCTTTTTACACCGTATCACCCAATGAACCATACATCTACGCTCTTGTTGTTGCCCTTTTCGTAAGTTCTTGAATTATGAAGCTGTAAAGAGAAAATTGAGCGTGGAAACGTAAGTAGAGGAAAGTTATCGAAAGACTTAAATCCCACTTTGTCCAGGAAGTAATTAAGATTGAGTAACTTGCAAAGTATATAATGTCCCAAGAGTTACAAAGACTCTAAAGATATATTCAGCTTTGAAATATGACTGTCATATATACCAAGGTGTCTAATAGTTTGGTATATATATATATATATGTATATATGCATTTACAGAGTCAAAAAATGATTATTTGCAGGATTGTGATGTACCGCGAATATCGATGTTACGAATATACATGGACAGCGGTGCATGTGATGTATTTAACTTGGATGAAGTATCTGGAGATGAATTTGAGAATAAAGTTTTTCTAGAGAATATTGTACTTGGCTGTGGAAAGCATCAGCTCTACATGTATGAGAGAAGTGTTGTGATGGGGCCAATTCCGTTTTGGAAAATAACATTTCTTGAGGTTTTTTGAATTTCATTAGATGTTATTTCATTAGAAAATGCTATTTCTGAAGGCTCTCTGTTTCAGGACAGTATGACGTTTGTAATCATAAGTGAAACAATTGATGCGGATAAAAATGAGGAGAAGTGTAGTCGTTTTCCGATTGTTTTAGATGGTGATAAAAGGAGAGTATTCAAGCTGCAAGATAATCATAATATTGTTGTTTATGATGGGGAAAGTAATTGTTGGTGCACCTATCCACCATCATTAGATACGCCTACTGATGTAAGTTTTTTTAGGTTCGCATACAATTAAAGAAAAACATGATAAATTGCAAAACTTATATATAATATGATGTCGAATATTGGTCCGTATAGATTTTCTGAATAGCACTCGTGGTGATGATACTAGCTGATTTGATAATGGACTTTAGGTTTCAATTGAGTATTATTCTAGAAACCATCACTAATTACTTAAACTATCAGTCAAAATTAATTCCTTTATTGTTAAATTTTTTAATTAAAAACAATATTGTCTGTTTATAGTTGAATCTGTTACGAGTTAGGGGTATCAGTGAAACGTATGGACGAGCAGTTCACCGAATGGGAGCCGTTGAATCACCTCTTACTTTTTACGTCAGTGAAGGTATCTGCATTGCAAAGGTATTTTTTGTTCATTTGAATAAATCAGATTATTTTAGCTATATTCTTATGTAACACATAATTTATGTTATGTTAAGAAATTTGGATCGAAGTTTACGCTACTGAAACACAGGATAGACGAGCTGGGAAGGTCGAAAGGGAAAGTTAGCGATGCACTATTGAGTATCACTTGGCAATACGTGAGGCATCATGTGATCTGTAGTCTGTAAGTGATGGATAAAAAATTCTTCACTTCACTTCACGTTTCTTATACTCTCGGTTTCTGTCATTTAAATTTCTTCATTTTAAAATTTCTTATCATTTTTCAGATTTTCCGTAACGCATATCATGCTTTTTATCACATTATATTTGACGATGAACAAAAAGTTTACCGTGTAATGCCAGCGGGTAAATATCGTCTTCCCATGCATATTCAATTACGATTCTATGGGGTATTGATATTTGTAGTCTATTACTTTAGTGGTAGTTTTTTTGCTGAATGAATACTCTATATATGTTGTTGGTTCAAGAAAACGGTTCCATTGACTTAAAATATGCGTTAAATTGTACTGAAATATGAAAATGTGTTTCTATGCATATAACTGTATTGGATACAGACATTGACAATTAGTATTGCAATGGGGGCTTGCATGATCCTGTTTTCAAGTCCAGATCTTTGCAAATTAGTCAAATTTATTCTGTAATGATGAGAAGTATTGAAAACAGAATTTCTACAGGCTTGTTCGAAAATGCAATTCGCATTCATATGTTCCACCGGCATAGCATTCGTTCCACTTGAACCAGCAACTTTACGACAGCTATCATTTCTGGCAGTACAAAGGCAGCATTGCAAAATTATTGGTGGCATATGGCTTGGCGGAATTTCCGAACAAATGATTAAAGCTAGTTGTGCGTACAGTGCAACTCGGCAACTTCTCTGATCAGACGTTACTCATTCGGATTTGCAATATATTCGAATGAGTATTTATTAGATCTTCACTACTTGTAAGTCAGCTTTTTTCATTTTCCTGTTGTTTTTAAAGTTTTTTTTATATTCCGTGCAGAATATGCCGGAATTGATACTTTAATTTTTCATTTTTGGTCTATTCGTGTATGTTAGAGAAATATGCTTTGCTTAATAGAAAAGTTTGTAGAAGTAGATTTAAGTTTTCTAAATATGTCTGCTCTCATTATAATATTTTAAATATGTTGGCTATAAAATTGTTAAAAAGAGAGATCATGTTCCTTCAGCATTCAGTATTTCAAGTAGATCCCAAAAGATGTTAAAACAGTAACAAAATCAGTACCTAAAATTGATACGTCAAACGAAAATAAAGGAACTAAAAAATCGAACATTTATTAGATGTCAAGTAGTATATTGGGAAACAAACTATATGTAGCTATGTTCACTGATTTTATGAAGTTCTGATTTGAATAGCAGAAAATAATTGAAATCAAGAAATCTAATGAGATCGATTTTTTAGGAAGATTATCTAATAAGTGATAAGAGGAAAATTTGATGATGCAACGACCAAGAGAGATCATTCAGTGGGAGAAATGAATAAAGATTTGATAAATGTATTTATACTAATATCGTATCCCACTGACGTGAAAAGGCAATCCAATCCTCCAAATAGACGATTTCATCTGAAGTATACATATTGTAAATTTACTCTTTAGCATTCTAAGACAGTGTATGTACTAGCCAGATTAAGTAAATTGTAAGTCGTTCCTACAGGAGTCAGTTTGTCTTTCGTAATCCATTTTTTGGAAATGATTTATTACGTAATAAGCCTACCATTGGTATAAGCTGGTGCGCATTATATTTTGTGATTTTCATCAGTATTGCTTTATTGTAAATGATATAAGTAAATAAATGGATACTCAATAACTAATAATATATGTATTTTTGTGCAATAGGGCAGCTGTTTTCCATGTTTGTTGAATTCACTCAATAAACAAACTCGTGAAAATAAGGCATGTGAAAACAAAGAGGAATTTTTCATTCAGAACACTTATGTCTGTATTGTTCTATTGGATGGAAGGACAATCGCTTATTCTTCTGTTGCAGGCCATTTTCAGTTTTTAATAAGCTGTTATTAGGAGAAAGACTGGAGAAAGAGAGATTCACATGCTGGACATATTTTGATCCTTCCTTGTTAAAGTAGTCGTTTGATGCGGCTGTTGTCCTTGAGCTTTGCTATAACCTATTTTGGTTCAGATATTTTCTTACTTTGTATAAATAGTAAATAGTGCAGAATTTTTCGGCAGTCATCCTTGTGAACCAATTTTGACTTCCGCTTAATGAAGTTTCGAAATGAAAAATTTGTTCTTAATAAAGGATATGCCTATTTTTGCAAAAGTTTAGTAAAGAACCTAATATATTATATATTGTCAACACCTATCTCTTCTTTTAAAGTATATGATGAAGACTGAATGCAACATCTATCGGATATCGTTTCAGTTTGAAATATCCATCAACGAAATTGATTTATGAAACGCTTGTAAAAGAATGGGAGGAGTAGCAAAGTAGCAAAAATTAAAAAACGGAGGAGTAGCAGAAATTAAAGATACTTATAATTTTATGAAATCATTCATATAAAACTTCTTTCTTCTATTTTTATGCTTGAATTTCAATTCTGCACTGATTGAATTAATGCAATTTTCATGCTTGATTCTAGTGAATGAGCTTTTTTGTGTGTTATGCATTCTTCGATGTATTCTTCTCTGACATCACGACAACTGCTACCTTTCAGTACTAAAGATATTCCTCAGAAAGAATCAGTAGTGCAGAATGCAGAAGTTACATTGTTGGGGATTAATATCACATTCAGGTTGCCAATTTAAATGAAATAACGGAATAATTTACTTATTTCCTATTATTCTATGAGTAGAAAAATAAATATGCAGGTACTTATTTCAGATCTAAAAGGGTACAATTTATTGTGCTTTGTTGTGCAGTATTCGTTTTCTACGTAACTTATGGTTTTGTCCAGGTTTTTCATTCAGATCTCTTTTTATATTTCTTTATTCATAAATTTTAAATTCTTCCTGAAAGTTGTGTTTCTGAATCTAAGAAGGAAGTCTTCCAGTTATTCATAAGTTACTGTTTTTTTTTTCAGGAATTAATATTTAAAGTGGATGGTATGGAATCATACGGATGGCACTTAACATTGATTCAATTTTTGATCTATTCCATAACAGCGTTATTGGAAAGTTTTTATTACGCTGTGATAAATCGACGGTAAGCTATGATATTTCCCACATTTGTGCCCCTTGTTGATGATCATTTTTGGTGAACTTATTTTATAGAAATCTGAAAAAAATTAGGCGTAGGAAATTTGAACTTTCTTTTAAATAAGACAAGAGTGAAACGAAAAAAATAAGATAAGGAAAAAGAATGGACGGAGTATTGGTCAAAATCATTTGAAATTTTCACCATAGCTTTTTCTTTGAAATGGATCATTTAACAGTATCAGTATAGCAGTTTTGATAGTCAGAGATGAATAATCGAGAATAGAAAGGAATGAGTTATTACGAGATAAATTCCTTCATCAAATTACACTCTAACTTAATCTTTACAGTCAAGAAGATAAAGCGACTGATAAATGATATGCATGTTTATTAAAATTAACCATTCGAAAACTTTTATTTGAAACGGGAATGAATATATGCAAACCTTAATTAATTCTATTTTCTGTATTGTCCTTACTAAAAATAGTTCTTAGAACTGTTGCTGATAAAGGATCATTATTGATAATGTACCTGATCCTTTTCAGTAATATATCTGTAATATTAAATACAGAGGTATTGTAGAGAAGTTATCCCAGTAAATGTCATCAAATCATTCCATTTGATGCTTTTTAACATGCGGATGTAAGACGTAGTTGACTAGTATTAGCGCAAGTTTTTGTCAGAGTTCATCTCAAAAATTCTAGTAATTTCTTGGAGTCTCAAAATTTCATATAGTAGAACCTGCAGGGAATAAATTGCCTATCTTGATTAATTCTTCTCACTTTTCTGGATATAAAAATGAATAACTGGAACTGTTGTTTATCCTTTTGACAGTAATCAGTTTACTGCTTTTACTGCCGGCTTAAATTTCTAGTTTGGTTTAACGCTCAATTTTCAAACTCAACACGTGTTGAAAATAGCATGCTCTTCCACGGTTAGATGCTATTTTTTCTTTTTTGTGCGTTTAATGTTTTTTTAAACGTTGAATAACGTCTGATTTTTACATTTACATTATCTTCAGGGAAAACAACTATCTAACATAATGAGCTGGTATTACGATGTAAATACTTTTAAAAAATGAAGGAAAGAATGTAAAAGCGATTATTGTTAATTAGAATGTCATGTTGTAGGAGAATTCCAATATTCATTCATTTACAAATAGCGACACTCACTGTGGGTGCAATGGGTTTCTCGAATGTTGCTGTGGGCTATTTGAATTACCCGACCCAAGTAATTTTCAAATGTTGTAAGTTGGTACCTGTTTTAATCGGTGGAATTATTATTCAAGGTGAAACCTTTTGAATTTAAATTTTCAGTTGATTTAATTTTATTAGGTATATATGTATGAAAATATTAGTGTAACATAAGAACTTATAAACAATGGGATTGAATAATCTCATATATGTATATGTATATATTTCAGGGAAGCGATATTCATTCATCGATTTTGCAGCAGCATTCTTGATGAGCTTCGGTCTCATTATTTTTATCTTAGGTGATAGTGTGATATCTCCAATGTTTAATCCTTTTGGTTATGTGATGATTTCAATTGCTTTACTTTTTGATGCTATAATTGGTAACGTTCAGGAGAAATCGTTGCACACTTACAAAGCTACCACTAATGAAATGGTTAGTCTTTATTTTGCCAACAATTTATCGTTACTCACAAAATTAGGCGTTTAACTTAGTATGTTATGAGAGCAGCAATTCTTGAATCGAGACATTACGTTTCCGGAAATTCAGAATCAGTGGTTTCTTTGTCACTGAAGAAGATCTTCAATAAGACTTTGTCGTGTTCTTCCATCGGGTTCTTCCATCGGCTATATTACAATTAATCTATCTTGTCAATGAAGAAAATGTAAAAAGCATTCTCTTTACAATTGTAATTCTTGCACACAGAATACAGAAATTACAACTTCGAAAACTTGAATCGCAAAGATAATATAAAGAATCTGTAGTAATCCGTATTAAGATATCTTTCAAAATATGGGGTTTAATTTGTTTAGGATGATACCTCTGGAAAGGACTTTTAAAATAGTTTTAAAATTTTTGATCTTTTTAGATTCTGTACTCATATTCCATTGGATTTATGTATATTTTGTTGGGATTGATGATTTATGGTAATTTTTTGGACGGACTGTACTTCTTCTCTAAGGTTACTTCTTTTTTTTGGCATCTCTCACTTTATTTCCAAAATGGAAAGTGTTATGCATGGAGCGTGAAAATCGCACAAAAGATGGCAATTATTACGCCATTAAACAAAATATTCCAGGATTTTAATATAAAACAGTATGTTGTGCTGAAAAATGTACTTATCGATTGATTTTCAAGATAAGCATTTTTTAAAGTTAGGAGAAGCTTGCACAGTATTTTATATGATAGTATAAATAAATTGGTATCATATGTTCTCAAAAGTAAGATCTAATCGGGAAATAAGAAGCCCTAACTTGATTTTTCAAAATAACGGTGATAAAAAATCGGCCTCATAGTTGATGAGCCGATGTATTTACTGTATTGATGCGATATATTTATTGCATTATGAAATGATAGTATATAATTAAATACAAATACTATTATTGGCATTACAGTTTCTGATAGACATGCATGACAATTTCGATGAGATAAATATATGAGATTTTGTTTGAAGTGAAATTAATCCAAAACTAGGTTTTATTTTAAAGAAATATAATGATCGTTTATATAGCCCCGAGTTTTTTTGTCTTTTTTAAATCACATTCTGAGATTTCCTAATCATCAAGCATTAATATTAAATTTTTCAGCATCCGCTGCAAACATATGGTTACGGTATACTGTTTTCCATATCTGGTTACCTTGGTCTTAATGTAGTACTAAGCTTAGTACGTACTCAAGGAGCACTTACTGCTGTTACCATTACAACTGCTCGGAAGGCAATCACGATCATCCTATCATTCCTATTCTTTTCAAAACCGTTTGTTACTCAGTACTTTTGGGGTGCCCTACTAATATTAATAGCTGTTTATCTTAATCTTTATAGTAAGAATCGCGCAAGTTGGGAATTAATTGTTAAGGACTTTATTCAACATTTATGTGCTACGTATAATGCCAAAAACTTGAAGTCTCACTCTATCGATCCAATCTGAGTTTGTTGTTAATATTAGAAGTGTTTCATTTATAATGAGCGCACTCTTCTTTTTTGATCTTTACAATAAGAATAACTTATAAATATAAGAATAACTTAAGCTCGGGATCGATTATTAAGGGCTTCATTGAACACTAGCATAAAACATTTCACATTTTGTTTTATCTGTTCAATAGATTACAAGAAAGTATAATGAATATCATCGAAAAATCGAAACCCCGCCATTCAACCAAATCGATTTGTTTCAAAAACCAATAGGAAAATCAGACCAAACAACCCGATTCTAAATATGGAGGAAGCATGGGTATCTTGGAAGTTTTGTTTACTATACGGAAACCATATTATTGTTCGATCGATCGGATAGTTCCGGACATTTCAGCGAAACAAGATAACAAAACCCAAAACGCAGGATCGAGCTAAGTTGCCGATATTAAAAAAGATTTCGCTGAATAATTTTGGGAAGAAATCTTGAATATCAATCTTGTGAAACTTGGCATTCATTGGACACATATTAAAAGTCACAGACCTCAAATGTTCTTTTCAAAAGAATGCAAAAGTGAAAACATGTTTAGAAGCACGATTTATCACTTGCATTTACCGTTAATCTATTGTCATATAATAAATATAAGCAGTAAATTTACAACAAATATATTGAGAATAATATCGCGGAGCGAAAACTCACTCAAGTGTGATCTTTCCTTACAGATCGAGGTGTGCCCAGTGGTCGTGGGGTCTTAGGCATCATTGATTGGGCGGGCACAACATTCCCTTCCTCGTTCGCTGGATGTATCACAATTTTTGGTTTATCTTCGTCACCTTCATACACCTGAAAATATTAACTTCTGTACATTAATATGGTGCCGCAACCCTAAATACTCCATTGGTCAACCAGTAATAATGGAAACGAATTTGTTAAAACAACATCAACGAGGAAAAAGGAAAAACAAGCCTCGAAGGTGTCGTCAACAGTAAGTGCAGCAAGTTTTGCCATTAAGTCGAAATTGCATACAACTGGGGCCATTTCGTGACTTTGTTCCCAACCAACCGGTGGTGAAGCTGGTGGTGAAATCAAGAATTGTTTCTCCAACGGCGGTAATTTCAGTAACCCGTCATCAGATGCATCCCGCAATCGAATTCTCTATAAAACTGAAACAGTTAGGAAGACAGAAAATTTTTCAAATTGATTTACGAAGTGTATCAAAATATTTGCTAAACTAACATAATACGAAACCTTAGTTACAGCAGGCTGTAATATAAAGATATTAAATACTTCATCACGGAGTCTGAAAAAAATTGAATTTTCAAACAAAGGTATCTGAAAATCTCTCTCATCGGAATACAGAGGCAACACAGGTCCCGTGATGTCACTTATATTTTCTCATATTTGAAGCGAATTAAGAAGGCATTTCCGTGCCGTGATAAGTTAGAACTAAGACAAACAATCAATAATGTAGTAACCAAAGCTTTTTTTTTTCATTTCGATGACTGATATCTTTTTAATAAACTATTATTTAATCCTATGTCATTAATAAGAAATATTTTGAAATGCATTATCTAACAGTCTATGAATTCATCAAATGAAAATAGTACCTGAGCGAAAAATGATTTTAAAATTGTTCCATTGAACGATAAATGTTGTGTGAGCAGCTTTGCAGCGGTTGCACTTTCTGGTTTTTCGAAAATAATTCGAACCCGTCGAAAACTTCGCAGAAAATCGAAGTGACAACCGGATTCGATCTGGGTGAACAAATCAGAGAAATTAGCCTTCTGTTGGTCGATCGAAAATACCTGAAAAAGCTTTTATGAATTACTATGAGAGAGAATGGAAATCAATAGAAGCACCAATGAAAATAAAGAATATCCATGAAGATGCTATCTTAATTCACAGAACTCGGTATTAAAATGTGAAGCATTCCTCATGCGAGGTATGGACATCAGACTGTTAAATTTCCCGTTTAATTATTCTGCAAACTTGCATTAGTAGCTAACAGTTTGGTCGTTCATCAGTTATTTTCTGGATGACCTATCGAATATACCCATTAATATCATAATGATATTCAGTAGAAAAGTTTAATAAAGTGAGAGTATATTTAAGAGTCAAAATTCCATATAACGAAAAAAAAGAAACCTCAACTGGTACATTGGTGACTATAATTGCATTCGGTAAATCTTCCTCATATTCGATATTCTGCAACTTCTCATGCAAATCATCGGAAAGCATTTCAAGTTAGCCCCATGAACGTAATATATGCGTTACTTCTCTTTTCATTTATTTTTTTAAAAACAGAATCTGAAAGGAAATGCTTAATAGATACGTAACACGCAATTCATAAAAATTTCATTAAAAAAATTCACAAAAAAGCGATCACTTATTTCTTCATCCTTTCTTCCTTAATTTTACTATTCTCCACCTCATGTGAAATATTCCAGAACGTCAATATGCCATAGTTCTCGATTCAAATTCCCTTACAAAACTTTTTATATTTTAATATATTGGTCAAATTTTACCGAAAGAAAAAAAAACTCGAATATACAAAGTTGAATCATTCTTCTTCAGATTTTAATCTTCAAAACACAAACTTTTGAAATTAAAAAATCTTTGAAAATGACTTTTCCAGGATATTTTATTTCCTTAATCGCAGTGTTTCTTATTACGGTTGGTGAGAAAGAGAAATCGGACATGGTTGATTGACATTCACCTTAATGACGCAGTGGACTTCTTCCCGCCCCTCCCCTTCCTGCGATATACTAATTCAGGGCAAAAATAGCAACGAATCCACGAGCTCGCGTCGTACACCGCCTTAATTCAGGCTTTTTTGCGCCAATTTAAAGGCAGAGGAAAGTGCAGTGAACATACTTTGCGCTATTTTCAACCAATCAGCAGCTACGTGCACAAAATGAAATGCACTTAGTGCTTATTGAGCTAACAGCTAACGACACAGACAGACGCGAAGACATGTGCGCACATACATATATGTCGCAGTCGTAGAGATGTGTCAGTACACAGGGATGACATGGATCATCCTGAAGAATCACTTGGCTTCTCGATGTTACGCAATAGAAATTTGGGCCAGTGGGAATACAGTCTAGAAAATCTATTTTCAGAAAAAAAAAATCGTTGTCATCTGATTAATGCAAATATGTTTGGCTTTCTGTCGAAGACATATTTGCACCAATCAGATGACAACGATTTTTTGACTCAGTAAGCTGTTAGTGATAGAAATTGAATTTGGAGATAAAAGAGTGTTGTGTATTCTTTGTTTTTAAATTTCTGTGTTCTCTAATTTAGCCAGGAAGAGCCAAAGAAACAGTCGACAGTTCCGCTTAGTCCATTCGATAATTTTCCATCCAACAGTAGATGATTTGAATCAATGGAACAGTCAGGCCCTGATTGCCTTTTCATATGTCAGTTATCGTTTGCATTCTTAAGAGCAGGTAAACTGAGGGGAATCATTTACGAGATTGATCCAATTAATTTGTAACCTTAATGGCAACTAAAAATGTGAGGCTTTTAAATTTTTAATCATATTTACTAATTTCCGGATTAAAAAGTCCATCTCGACAGGTATTCTTACTACACGACAAAACAAATATTCAAATCGGATCAGATCACGCTTTTACAGCATATGTGAAATGGTATATCAGTTATCACTCGTAATGGCCGCAGCACTTCTCCGTAATCAGTATTCATTACGAATCCAGCCGGACACTTGCCCACTAATACCAAGCATATATCATCCTCGTCCAGTATCGCTGTAAAATTTGCATGAAAGAATATATATTTAACAAGTTTGATCTGTCGTACGGCATAAAATGGAAGTTGCGAAACACAATGATGTGCACATAAGATAGGAGAGAGTACCAAAAAGCAGACAGGAGTTGTTTACATTAAAAGAGCATGCTTTTCGTAGTACCTGGTGTTCCTGGAACTCCTGGTGCTCCTTGTGGTCCTGGTGGTCCCTGTGGTCCAGGTGCACCTTGTGGTCCCGCAGATCCTGGCGCTCCTTTTGGTCCTGATTTGCACTTACAATTGGCTTTTCCTTTGAAAAGAAAAGTGTATATATTATAGATATTATTCTGAAACATTTTACTTAAATTATTATCCATAAGCTATCAATCATACCTCATACTACACTATATGAAAACTCAAAAATTGTTCAGAATTATCGAAATTTCAATTATGGTATTGATATTTGTACTTATACCTGTACCTTGATTTTGATTACGATGTATGATTTCATCCTGCATACTCTGCTCTTCTAGCAGTTTATCCAAACGCTGCAAAAAACTTCATCCTAATCATTTTGTAAAAATCAAACAAGAAAAGGCAAATATTCAAAAGATAAATGTCAATTCATAGTATCCATTTTTCCAAAGGATAATATTTTATCTCATCCAAAATATTTATAACATTTTTCAATATCCAGAAAGGATATTTTTCTCTCTCAAAACTTTCTACTATGCTACTACTATTATTATTATTAATGCTATTATTACTGCCATTAGCAAAATAATAATAATTGTCATTATCATCAATATTACTGTTATTATCATTAATATTGCTATTGTCATTATTATGATGATCAGTAAAAATGCATACTCTTTGTAAATTATTGATGATGGCATTTTGCATGTTGACTTGTCTCACTATATTACTGTATTCCATAGACGTATCCAACTCCATCATCACTTCTTGCGCCAAATACATCACTCCATAAATTACAAAGAGTATTTTCGAATTCATTCCTTCTTAAATATCGTAATAATACCTGACTGTGTTTCTGCTAGAACAATATTCTTATGGACATTCTCTCTGCGCATAAATTTACTTATCGAAAAAGCCTTACCTGATCGCACCGGTTTATCAGTCTCATCTATCATTAACCTAACAGTGCTTCATTTTAATTTATTAAGCATGTCACCTTTAAAAATACTTAAGAAGTATCACTCTTTATAACACAAATATATTATTGTATTGCACGGATAAAAATTTTTTATATTAAGCTGTTAAAACATTGTATTTGCACAATTTTCAAAAAAGCGCCCAACTAATTGTTTCAGCTACTGCCTTTGTGATAACAGAAATTTCTACTGCTAATACAAATAAATCTAATCATTAAGTAAACATTATACCTTACAAGTGGAAGTTTCCATTATCAATTTATCTGTCTTCACTGTTACACAGTTCAATGGAAAACAAATTGCCATCAGTGAGAAACCTAACAAAGAGCAAAACTACCTGAATTAGCCATATTTTGTTACATTGAAGAATGTTTTGAAAAAAGAAATATTACAACGTCTGTAAGAAATATAAAGTCTTTCACTGCTTAAATGAATGAAATAGAATAAAATGTATAAAAATAAGAGCAATAAGCAAACACCTGCTTGAAAGATTGATTTATTACTTTAATTTTTGTTTTTCAGATCTTCTCCTAACAGTTATTCATCCTTTCCCTATGTCTTCATTAATTTTTCACTTTCAAAAAGTTTTAGAAGAAATTATGGCGAAAAAAAGACAAGCACAGATATTTTTATCTACTGAATTGCTTACGGAGAATTGTTGAAGTATAAAAATGTCACGTTCTCAAAATATTTTCGCATAATATATACAAACTAATCAAGTTGATATGTTTATACTAAAATATCTTGTTTTTACTTTAGCAATTTTTTATTTTTCGTTTTTGTTGTTTTGTAATATTTTTGTAGGACTGGATTTATTGTTTCAAATAACAAATGAAATATAAAGTTCTAAACATTTTTTTTTTGAAATATAAAGTTTAAACATTTTTAATACTGCCAATGCTACTTGGTAGTTGAATAAACTTTAAAAACAATATAAGGATGCAGTTACAAAAACTCCATCTCATTTCTCTTGGAAGATCGCTTATCTATTTTAGCAAAATAATTAAAAGTTTTAAAATTAAATTTTTTTCAAATAATTTTTAAGGCTGACAAATACAAAAATAAATTACCATAATGTTCTAAAAACGAAACATAATTATAACGTGACGGCGTCAAGGAGAAATCACTCTTTAACCTTTATTTAATAGTGCTATGAACTATTGGAAAAAGTTGCATGTAAATAAAAAACAGTTTTGTATATTAAAAAAAGAGAAATATTTCAGCATTTTAATGAAATAACACGAAATGCACTTACTTGCAACAGATCTGCACCTGAAGTTCCTGTCACACTTCCTGCTTTTCTTTTCACATCACCCAATGAATATTCCTCAAAAACAGTAACTTTCCAGGATCCCATCATAGATATTACTTCGATGGTGAATCAAACAATAAATACAGTAATCTCGATCGACAACTAGCCAACCTATAAAATCAAAACATAATAAACAAAAGTAATTTAGAATTCCATCATTATTTATTCTGAATAATTCGAAAAATATTTCAGAAATGAATTATTCTATTATTATGCTAAAATATATATTCTATGTTAAGTGATAAAATTGGACGGAATACTATTGTTAGCAATTAAATTAGAACTATATTTATTTGCAAATCAGTTCATATTTTTCATTTCATTACTATTTATTCTCCAAGGTACAAGTAAAATACAAGGATGAGGAAAAAAATTTCCTGAATTTTTCCACTTAGCAGATTCTATAGGACAACAGCAATCCATCTGAAAGCTGTGAAGACTATCATGCTTTTTGACCTGGTATATTCTGGCATATCAATATCTCCCTTCTAGCCCCGGCAAATCTTGGGTCATCAGCATTTCTGGTAGCCCAACTGATCCAGCGGAATCTGTAAATTTTTCCTAATAACTGCAATAATTGCAGACTTTCTCTTTCTAGGTTCGTTATTTCCCAATTAATTCTTGTTCATCCTATATTTTCCTCTGTATGTAAAATATTAAAAATTAACGACAAATCTCTACCAGAAGCTTAAAAATGTTTGTTTACTATTTCAACACAATGCTATGGATCATAATTATCGCCGTCACTTTCTGCAAGCATTTCTCACACGCTATCTAATCTCGATTTTCCTTTCTCATCTCGCAACCCAAGCAACAACATCAACCTCAAAATGTCTGGAAATCTCCCACCTGTTTTTATAATTAATTAGAAGTTTATATTACTTTATGTACAGAAATATAAGTACCAGATGTTCTCACAGGTCTTCTCTGAATTCCTAGGTTTTCTTGGTTATCCTTTGATCCAAAAATTCTGTGACTGGTAATTCTACCATATCCTACCATGCACCGGGTTTTCCTATGATACCTGAGAGACTACATTCGTTTGCTTTTCCAAACATAGAATTTTTAATTCAGGATTTACTTTGAAGCTATTGATTTATTAAGTTTATCGTTAAAACGTTCGTTACTGTATATATCAGGTAAATAATTAAATCTTAATTTCTCTTTATTTGTTTCTTTCAGAAGTAAATAACAAATTTTGAGGAAGATTGATTTGTGATTATTGTTAACTAATTTAAAGAAAACAGTAAAATTTTCGAACAATGTCTGATCGTGCCATGAAGTCATAATTAACCGGGATATCTATTGTTAACTTTCATCACGTTTGCTTGCTGGTTGTTACTTTTTTTTCCTCACATTTTCTTCCATATGTTTCAGTCATTTTCTGTACTTTTGTACAAATTCTTTTTTATGAAAATTTTAGACAATTTCTGCCTACTGTTGCATTTGCAAATATAATAAGGATCTGCTTAATTAAGCATGATACTATAATATTCATATCCAGCAATCTTTCATGAAGTTTTGAAATTTTCAGCTGCATTTTATTTGTCATTGTCAACAAGTGCTCTCTAATTGCTTATAAACCGGTGCGTATACTAAATAAATAAAATGAGATTAGTTGACTAATTAATCAACTAATTTAAAAATAGTAAAAGAAGCATTATGATGCTAATGCACCACATGACACTAAAAAAAGATGGTCAGTTGATGCATCTGTCAATTAGTCTTCTATAAAATTTCATAAATGTTTTTGAAAAATTTAAAAACGAAAAAAAAATCATAATACAGATGAAAATCATTTCAACAGTTAATTGATTGAATGGCTCATAAGAGAAATCCTAAAACTATATTTCAAAGATTTATTTTTGTCATTTTCATCCATTCATATAGCAGAAGCGTTTGCAATTCACATAACATGATATTTTGAAATGTCCTAAAAGAAATAATCCTTAATGAATCCAACAGATCTTAATGACAAGTGAAAAATTCAAAGTAAATTAATGACATTCAATAGCATCCATTTAGCATCTTCACCATCAATTCGATGCGGTACTTTCTTTTCACTCTTTTAATTTCAATTCATAGTATTACAAGGTCCATGTTTCGAATTTTCGAGATAGCATCACATGATATGTTGCATTTTTAGTACTATATCTATATTCTTGTGCCTCCAGAATATATAAAAGGAACTATCTACGCTCCCTAATGATGACGTCAAGCAACAGCTGTTACTTGTTGAAGAGTTCCTTACATCAATGTTTTAAAAAAAAACAAAATTTTTTGAACCAAGAGAACCGTAAGAAGTACTAAGCATAGGAAAATGCGTAAGAAGTACTAAGCACAAAATGTTTTCACAGTACGATAAATAAGACATGTAATATTTTCTCTGTAATTGAAACTCTCAACAAAAACAACAGCTTTATTGAATTCTAAACGTTATGAACGATAAAGGAATGATGGTGAGAAAAAAAATTTACGCGAAATTACATATACAATTAAATCATGAAATACCACTATTTTAATTTTTCAAATCGTATATATTAGCATTGTCATACCTTCCCAATCGTTTATCTTCCATTCGAAAGAATTTGCTGTCTATCACTTAAGCCTTAAATTTTAAGCGCATATTTAGAGTTGTACCACGAAAACAATTAGACTTCCATCAGAATGGACAAAGTCCCGAACTTGAACAAGATCCGGAAATAGAAAAAGAGTCAGATCAAAGTTTATGCTGAATAAAGATAACGATTTCAGATAAGATCAGCATATTAAATAGATTCAATACAATTTTATGAAAAGCAAATAAAAGTTGAATCGCTGTTTTTTGTGAAATATTATCGGAACAATCAATTATATGAAATTACGAATGAAGGCTGTTTATATGCTGATTTACTGATGCTCGTTGAATTTCTCGTTCAAAGTAATGTCAGTATTTCGGATCATCTGTCTAGAGTTTTCTATCATACCACGCAGTTTCATCCATACTCCTTCACAACAATGAAACAGAAATTGACTTTTCAACGCCTTTGCAACGTTATATTGTTGGCTGCAAATAATTTCGTTCTATTTTACAAAATTTTTTATCAAATCCAAGCCAAGACACATCACTGCCGAATGAAAGTGGTAAAATTCAGATATTCAAAATATAAAGAGTATGTCCCCAGAAGTTTCAAACAATCTGCAAGGATACCACTATATAAGTTAGGCATTTCCAACGAGTAAATTAAAAGCAAAAACTTATTAGTATTGAAGTCTCTACCTAGAAATAATAAATAACGCTGTTCGATATGCAACGAAGTAACCGAGATGAGATGTACTGAACAAATCAAATATGAGTGCAAAATGATTAAAGCAATAGTAATACTAACAAACTGCTTGCTTACGAAAGTGACTCAATTCTATTTTAATGGCTCATTAAACTGCTCACAGACCACGGATGCTTACTATCATCTTCAACGAAACACTTTGTTAATCATCAACGAAACATTTTGTTAATCAATTCACACATTCACAAAGCAATACGATTATTCAGCATTGAGCTTACTACTACATGTCCTAAATGCCTAATCATTTCACCTAATTACTGCTCAGGTTACATATAATTTTTTCATGCATATAAAAATAAATTACCGAATAATTTTCGCAGCTGCACGATATCTTTTCGTTTGCATCAAACTGATTGAAATATATAATTTACAGCGTGAAATCAGAACTGGATCACCAATATTATTAGCAAGTTGCAGTTGACTATAAGAAATAAGCTCTGCTTTTTCGGCCTACAAAAACTAATCACAAATCAATAATTTTTAAAAAATGTTTTTGAATTGATTATGAAAAGAAATATTGTACAAATACCTTCCTTAGAGAAATATGGTATTGTTTTATTTCAAGGTGAAGTAAGATTTTCGGAAATAAAGTTAACTTACGAAATGCTTATAATAATCACCCATAGCGGACAAAGCACCACCAAAAGTAGATAAAATCCATAATAACTTTTCTAGCTCCAAACCTCTGATATAAATGGCAGAAATCCTGTAGTTCCTGAAAATAATGATAGTAAAGTTTCCAAAACTATTTCCCTTCCTGCTCAAATTTCTAAATTTCTTTTAGGCACTTATCTTGTTATGAATTTGTTTTAAAATTATTTATTCTTACAAATTAATATTAATAAAAGAAATTGACTTCCAGTAACTCCATTCTATCCATGAAATCATAGTAAAAAAAGACAAAATAACATCGCTAACCAAAATTATGCTCACCATTTATAGTCAATTTCACTCATGAACGGGTTGCGGAAGTGAATTACCAAATATACATTCTAAACAGAAATAATGCATAGTCTTTAAAAAAAAATGATTCTGAATTACTAAAAATCTCAAGCAAAGTGTGAAATCCGAAGTTAATTTCTACATGAAATGAGCCGTTCAAAAGTCACTATGATTCTCCGATCTGATAAATTATGGCGTAATACCTGGAGTACACCCAAAATCTTGACCAAATCTTTAAATTACATCCATAAAAATGTGAAGTTTTTACGAACTATGAAACACAGTTACGAATTAAATGATGTGTAGAAGAAAACGAGGTGCAATAATCCTAACTGCTTATATTTCACAATTTAAATTCAATCAATAGGAAACTTACCCCGTTATCTGGAATATTGTAATTTCTCTTCAGAAAACCCAACAGGGCTCGTTTTACATATTCTGTCTGAACGGCATAAAGTAACGATGCCAGAAAATAAGTCGACGTTTTCCATCTCACAATCGATTTGCACCCTGGCAATTCATCATCCAATTTGACATAGCAAACCTGCTGCGGCATTCGTATGTTAAGTAATAAAGTACCACCGATTTTAAACCTCATTGAACATATCTAAAAACCAGCACAAAGTTATAAAAGTGCAAGACAGAATTAAGCAATAAGCGTTTTGAATAGTCAAAAAATCTCGTAAAATTGCTGACCATACAAGTACAGTAAAGCAATGCCTAAAAACTATTAAAAATTGTAATTTTTTTGGTAAGGCCCCAATAAAATTTCAAGATAATGAAATTTTAAAAATGGATCCAGTACTTTTACTGCCAAGTTCATGATAAGGTCCGGAAACAAAACTAGATTTAACATTCTCTCAAATTAATTGTTGTTTTGAAATTTCAAAGTTTTCAATTTCTTTAAATTGCAAAAAAGACATACGGAATATGGATGGAAATCCATCGAAAAAAGGTATCAAGATAGAAGTATAGAACACATATCGTTTGTAAATTTTATTTTTTCAACAACCGTAATTTATTTAAAGTATATGTAAAAAAAGATGGTATTGGAGCACAAATATGAATTTTTTGCGAGCTTTGTTTCGATAATGGAATAATCACTTCTTTCAAATGTATATACATTGGTAGTCGACGAAATGAATTGCCTGAAAAAATGATTAGTGAATATAATCTTACCGAGGAAACGAGACCTCTGGTCCGAATGAGAGTATATGTATTACAATCTATTAGTCTAAATTAATCATCTATCAAAAATTTTATTTAGACAACGTATATATCTAACAAGATAGAAGAATAGGTTTACGCTCTGAGCTTTTCTTAACTGTAATGGTAAATGACAAAGTTAAAGTAAAGAACTTTCTAAATTTGGAAAAAATCATTAAAACTGTACAAGTTTCATGTTAAAAATGTATAATAAAGAGATATTAAATTACACACTGTACTGCAGCTGCACAGAGGAAGAAAAGGAAAATTGAATTACCAGCAATATTTAAATTTTGTAATGCAGTATCCGACAGTCGTGGTGGAATTCCTCTTCCTGCTTCTCGACGACTAAAATTATATTTGATATCACCGATAATAGGACATGCAATGCCAATACCAAGATGAGCGCGTATTTGCTCCGGAACATCTAAAATTCTCGCTTTTAACTTTATCACAACATTTAAAGATAACTGCATATAGGAAATAAACCCATTCCCTAATAAAACAATAGATACCATAATAATTTTGAAACTTTGCTTCATAAACTAATACGGTTTTCTGAATTATTAAAAATTAATATTCAGTTTCATCCTTGAAACAAAACTGTCACGCATGAACTGACTTCGTTGTTCTTTTCGTGACTTAAATTATATTTCATTCCAGTAACCGTTTAGACATGGAAAAATTACCGCGATTGACGACACACTCCATATAACTGGTATGATTTTTACGATCATGCTTGAGAACACGATAATACGTACTTGCTTCCAAAAATGGAGTGCTTTCATTGTTATTGTTTGCACTCAATGGTAACATCTAAATAAATCAAGAAATTCAATAAATTAACCTAACTATTTTATAAAATTCTTCAAAGATTAAAAAGTATGTAAAACATTCAAAAATTAAATAGCTTCACTGTCATCCAATTCCACTTATTATAGGAAGACTCGAATTTATAAAAGCACTTAATCACTCGGATAAGTAACTGCTCCATTTTATATTTATTGCTGTAGTAAAAAATAAAGGATTAAAATCAACCATGTAATTGTTATTTTTCCTCCTACACTTGACAAGCGGAATATTGATAACAGCTTTATGATGCGTAGGTGCCATATTTGTAATAACATGGTAACACTGCTCTATTAATCCATTATCGTACAAAGCTTTTACTTTTTTTTGAGCATTTTCATTCCTGCAAAGAAAAGAAAAATTCAGAATATACCAAATTCCACAGCAGCAATCTTTTTCGAAACTAATCTGCCCAATTTAATCCAAAAAACAAATTTCTTAACAATATTTTTTACTTGGAAATAGGCGCTTTATTTCTAGTTTTTTAAGGTCTAGTATTGAATAAATATACATCTTATTCTACTTACATTTAAAGGAATGAATGACGAGTTAATTAAAAATCGAATAAAAGGAAAAAAGCGGTGGTAATCCGAAAACAATTTCTTTGATGCCATGTAGAAAAGAACAACATTTTTGCCCAAATTTGTTGACAAACTAAAAATAAAAATAAAACAGAAAAAAACAAACTCACTTTGCAAACAATGTTACTCCAGTAACAGATTTTGCAATAGATTTTATAATCCGCAAACAATCCACATGTAGTCCTATCCGAGAAGAAAGTTGGGGAAGAATGCGTAACAATTCGGCTTGATTGCTCGGTGCATTTGCTACGTGCATTTGATATGGCTTATCAAATGCAATAAGTTCCTCTAAACACGTAAATATGTTGAAATATTTTTTAAAACAAGAGTGGTAAACATACAAAATACCGTGATACTTGGAAGGGATAAAAAAGTTAGTATCTTTTACTCTACAGATAATTATGTATAGCAATAAATAACATTAAACTTACCGTCTTCATAAATAATCCGACCAGCCATTACACTAATGAAATCATCGTTATTCATTTTCCATACCGGTAAAATTTCCTCCCATATTTTTTTGAGACCTATGTCTTCGCAAGCCTTTGAGTCCAACATTTCCTGTAACATCAATTTCCTTTCTTAGAACAATGTACTACATACAGAGCCTATGTAGATTTTCTGAATAAGAATGCAATAGCAAGTGATCGATAGTAGAAGCAAATGGGATTATATAAATCATATTATCCTTCACTTGCATTCATTTTACAAATGTAAAAAAAGACATTTTAATTAAAAGACCATCAGTTAATTTGGTGTAATTTGCTGTAACAAACTAAATGTTCAAAGACTGGTTTCCCATAAAAATTTAAATAAAAACTGTCAACCGCTCCCAATCATTTTTTGGAAATTAACTTTGCTCAGCATAAATCAATTTTTCAATAGTTCCGAAGCTAATTTGATGAAAGGCAGGAGTTATTAGTTTTCTTCGGAATAAAATCCAAAAATTACTTGTAATATATCTTACTGCAATAAACAGTTTAACTTTTTAGTTCTATCAATAAAAATTTACGAGTGGTCGAATATTCTCGTCATTCGCATTATTGTCATTACCACCATATCTCGTATTCTCATTTGAATCTCCCACGAAGTCATTTGACGAATCTGATGGTGAATCTAACCTAAAAAAACATTAAAATGCAAATTAATATACTTTCGAAGAAGCTATAAATCCCCGACCAGATTAATTTAAGGCGAATTTCAAGTGAGTAAAAATATCTTCTAGATAAGTCTTCAAGCGTATTTATTTGATGCCAGGACCTCAATTGAACAAATCACCTGATTTACATTTTTAAACGCAAGATATTTCTTTTCTAAACAAAAAAATCAGTAAAATCCTGCATAATACTACGATCAATTCTAAGAATCAATTCTCTACTTAGATTTCGCTCTGAAATACTTACTGCTAAATCCTTTACAAGATATAATCTCCAAAAATATCAATACTATTCCAAACATTGGCAATAAAAGTTATTTTCAGCTATCATGTAATCAAGGAAGCACTGAAAGTTGATGTGATTAACTTCATTAACAGCAAATATTTGTACTTTCTTCACAGACTTTGTCACAAATGAATCATTAATGCCACAAAATGTTTGTCCCACTATTTTTTAAAAAATGTGCCTAGCTTAGGCAACATCTCGGCAACTCTTCTTAGTTTCCACAAACATTAGCCAAAAATTATAGTAACTTTTATTCTCAGTTTCCATAAACATTAACCAAAAACTATGGCAACTTTTATTTCGTTCAGTGCAGATCGATTGCTTAACAAATCACCGAAATACAATATACCAATATAGTCGATGCCAGATGTATCAAATACAGTATGATTAATTTTATTTTCTTCTCTACCAACCCCGATATTCTCAAAATCACCAAAATACGAATCGATGTAGTCGATACCAGAGGTATCAATAAATTGTGCTTGCAACTACCTGAACCTCCAACCATTTCACGTTTCGATCCAGATAAAATCGGTTTGAAAAGAAGTGTTTAAGCAAAATCTTGACCCGAAATAAGCTGACCTCTGGTCTGAAACAACACTTTGTTTATTGGAAGCTTTGCGATATCTTTTTTCTGTCGTTCTTGATCGTAGCATTACTGCAGCTTCCATATGACGTGGAAGAGGTGTTTCTGTAGCGTTGTGAATGCCAAAAAAATCATCCTTCTCGTCCATTTTATGCTTCTTTCCCTTATTATATTCTTCCTAAACACATAAAACTACTATATTAAAGAAACTCACATTTACGGTAAATTTCTCTCGTGAACAAAAACAGCATGAAAAAATAATATTAAATGGACAATGAACCACTTACGCCATAAGAGAATTAACAAAACTGTATTTGGGATTAATAATTAATTTCGCAAAAACACGAGTAACAATGACAACAATAATATTAAATTATTAACATATCACCAACAAAAACAAAAAAAAGAAAGTCAATTAACAATAAACAAATGCACTTTCTAGATATGTTTTCCTTTATCATAGGCTAATCAATCGCTAGTAAGCTCACAAATTGATTAACTTGCTGGATTGCTCAAAACTCTTTGTCTTCAACCAAAATGGAGCACATAATTCTTAATTCTCTTAGATTTTTCAAGAATATGTTTATTGTGGTTTTTTCGCATCCTTATAAAGGTTCTAGTTAGAACCCTGACAAAATATATCAGTAACTGAAAGCAACAAACTAAATCGATCATTTTATAACTTCATAGCCCAACCGCTTTGGCACAACAGAAAGTGCTTCAGTCCAGTTTCTTGAGTACACATAACGCACAAGAATTTCTACAACTTGATTAATTGTAAGCATCATATTAAATGTCCCACTGTCACGTCGATGAAGAAATTCCTGTATCGGTAATCGTCGAGCATCCAAACCTAATTCTTCTGCAAGCACCATACAAAAGCTAAGTTATGAGTTTAAATTTCCCTATATTCATTAAAATATCTACCTAGACGAGGTAAAACTAAGAGAGCAGCTATCAACTACGGAATCAGAACTGTTGGACAAGGAACAACAATCATGAAAATAATTCATACTCAAATATTTAACTGCAAAATAAAAGTAAATAACGGAAAAACACCTGCTCTATAATATGACAACGATCCAACTCCAGTTTCATCGACGAGGCCACCAATAACATATACTTCGTCAGGTTTCACATCTAACAATGCATTAAGGTGCGAATCTGGACTCAAATACACCATATGGCACTCCGTAACAAACTGAAATTTTTAAAAAGAAAAAAATACTACTGCTTATATGGAAACACAGCAAATCACTTTCACAACTTACTAAAATAAAATTAATTTTTGTACAGAAAAACAAAAGAAACGTAATATGTGACGCAAATAAATGGTTAATAGAAGCACAAAAACAGTTCCTGTATGATATAAAACATCGATGGGATACATTACCACAACTGATTTCTACTTTTAAATTAGCGACTTCTTGAAATATTTGAGTTCAGAATGAAAGAATATGAAGATCATAGAATAAAAAATAAAAATTGAGATATAAATATTGCACTTTTATTTAAATCAAGCAATTATCAACAACTTCGGCTTTACCAAAAATTTAACAGTCAAACATTTATGCATTTAACTGTTGAATTTTGATAAACTTGAAACATGCTGTGAATCTTACGTCATTTATACTTCTGTCAGAAATGATCCAATCAAAATTATCAAAACCAGACATTTTCTGACGTCCTTCGCACAAAAAGCGTTCATCTGGTGAAAGAAGGGTAACCTGCAAACCGGGACTCCTGAAAATTTAACTTATCCGACAATTCTATTTATTGAATGAAGCTATTCATTTAGTTTCTATTCACAACTATAGTATTATAAATTTGACAAGGCTTCGTGAGTCCGGGAGTGAAAGGCCTCTTTGATTTAAATTCTACCTGACTGTTTTATATCACTAATTGCATATTAACGCACGTATATGCATGCGCATGTATGTACTGTTGTACGTCGTATAACATACGTACGATACAAATGCTATAAATTTATTTACACTATGCTATAAATATATTTTACACTTTATTTACACATTTTCTTTAGTTGATGACTTAGTGTGAGTATAAAGGAAAACTTTCTATTACATTAGGAAATCTATCGCCATACAATCTAGTGTGAAAAGAAATATTGTGTCTCAAATCATAAGCCATTACTCCATCAAGCCTTACTCATAATTTTGAATTATTTAAATTACCAAAACATCTTTTCAAATCGACTTTTTCTAAGGCATCCACAACAAAATAAAAAAAAACCGAACTTCTTTTGGAGACCCCAAACACGACCCATCTGTCGAACCAATTTACTTAGTTCTTTATCACTCATACGTTGCGCAAATCCGAAATCGATGTATACTTGCAGAACAAAACTGAGCGGTTCCCTAACCACCAAATTTTTTGCTTGATTTTTACGGCGTCGACGCCTTTCCTTAGATCTATTTAATCGTCGCCTTTCAATAACTCTAAATTATAATAGCCAAATACGAAATAATATTGGCAATATCAACTGTATGATCAATGAGTTAATTATTCACAACTGAACGCTATATTTGGAGAGAACTTATCCCCTATAAAAAAATGATTATGCATATCAGTGAAATATTTCAACATTATACTTCAGCACAAAGTTTTTATTTTACGTTTCATGAAATCAAATCTTTGACCCTTACCTCATTATCTATTTTTTTTTTGTTAGTTTTCCAGTCTCTCATTCTTTCCTGTTCATAGGAAAGCGTAATAAAATAATATGAACGCAAAGGCCGAGAATTCTCGGGAGAAAAATAAGCCAAGATATAAAATTCAAAATTCATGAATGGCCTTCCACTAACTCTGTGCTGCTAAAGATTTTAACATCTTTCACGTTTCACATGAAGAATTCTGAATTCCTTATTTTCAAAATAATTTTACTTGCCTAGATAAATCATCAAAACGTTTTCATAATCTTACCTCATATAGCGTGCTTGTTTACAATAAGTTTTATTTATGTGAGATCTGTTCTTGGATTGATGATCGTCCGATTCACAACCCACTACCATCATTCCTTCTTCTAACGCATCCAGTAATTCTGCAAAACATTCCATATCTCCTAAAAAAAAGAAATATCCTTAACCATTTACTACTGCGTTCAGATGAATATTTCATAAAACGCTCAAATGTCAAATCTTTGTTTATTCCACAGTTCAAGTTAATAAATGCAAAAAATGATTTTTCTAAGGAATGATTACAAAAAGGAAAAATTAAAAATGCTTGGTAGAATTGGGATATTTAAATTTTAGTATAGCAAGAGACAAAGACAAACAGTTAGATTATCAAAATGACTAGCTACAGTTATATTATATAGATACTTTCTGTTTAATTCCTTTCCAGTTCAAACATCATCTATTATATTTCATACTATTATATTATAACTGTAGCTAGTTGTTTAAAGCAATTTCAGATTAAAACAAGATGGGAGCAGAAATAAAATATGAGAAAACAAATGTACGAAGGAAAATAGCTGTGATTTCAGAATTGCCAACAGTTTAGCAATGAGACGAAAGTTTTCACAATCATCCATTCACTTTAGAATACAAACCAAAAGTCGTAGCAGATCGAGATAAGACTTTTTTTTACGGACGGTTTGGTTTATCAGTAACAGAACAGAATGAAAATATTAATTTCAAGAAATGAATGAATAGTTGCCGGAGGGAGTATGTTGGCTTGCAGTTGAAGATTGAGAGGTATGGGACTGTTTCTCTAGTAGAGTTCAAAATTAGCACACCTTTCCTTATCATGTCTTTCTATTTATTCTGTAATATTCCTCTAACTTTGTCGTAGAAATCATGAAATAGATTTAAATTATCTATCAGTTCATCTTTATAAAACTAACAAATCTATTAAAAATAGATATTCAAAATGGAGCACTCATAATAATAAGGAATTGTTAAAAAGAAATGATGAAAGGATTCCAAATTTTATTTTAATTTCAAAAGAATTTATTTTACTGGAATAACAGTCATATATTATGTTCTTTGATCAGAAACGGAGTATCCATAATGATAAGGCTAATGCTTTTCTTCAGTAGAGAATTTCTCAATTTATTTTGACAGGTATATGGGAATTCTGTGAAAATATTTTTGTGATATTGTGAGAGAGAATTGAGTGGAACTGCTTGATTATTTAAAGCCATATTATTCCTAAATAATATGTTGTAATACATCGTTTATCGATCAGTTCAATGTTTCATTCATTCATGCATTCCTTACTTCACTTCAATATCCATCTCTTATGGGATAAGGCGATTAAATGGAAGACATTGCATTACTATCGAAATTGTTCAAATATCTGTGCCCCTTTATGGCTTGCAGCAAAAAAAAAATGAAAATAAAATGAACAGATAAAGTATATAAAGTTAATTAGTAACACTTCGAGTTTATGCATACTACGTATGCGCATGTGTGAATGTTCGGCGAGCAGTTGCAGTTAAGAATGTAAAAGAGATAAATGGAGCTCATATTTACTTATCACAGCTCAGTTAGTTCGTTGGATATCGAGCACATTCATATGTCTATAGTGAGTAGTTGTCCAATAAGCGTCACGTCATATTCCCTTATAACTTATGATACCTGTCTCGTCAGGCCTGCTCCCTTAATTTCTGCACGCAAACACATATGCACACACGCACACACACATACACACACACACACACACA